AAAAAAAAAAAAAAAAAAAAAAAATCCCAATTTGGGCTCAGAATAAGGCTGGTTTAAGACAGTGATTATCAACCTTTTTTCCCACCTGCAGTCTATTCCCATGCATCACACAATGGAATCATAGTCAGGGATTCTTGGGGGGAGGGGAGGGAAGACTAGATATGTGTTGACTGAAAATGCTACCCCTCTGGCTTTTGTAGATTCTGATGTGCAGTATCCCTCACCCCCTGGAAAAATACTCAGAAACACATTTTTAGTCTGAAGTAGATCCAGACTTATATGAGTCTTGCTGTTGTCTAGCCATGTCCAGAATTCAGCTTTGTTCTCAAAGAAATGGAGTGCGGAGGACATGCTGAGAGATAGGAGCAGGCTGTAGAGATGATTAACTGCAGAATGACCACATTCCCTAGAACTTTTGCTGGCAGGGGAGGAGGTGGGAGGCAGTGTGCTGGGGTCCTGGGCCCTTCATCTCCGTGCTGGCAGAGGAGGGCTGGGGGGGGTGACTGAGGAGGCCCATGCCTAGGCAAGACGAGCTTCTCTGAGCTTCCTTAGAATACAGACATTTGAATCAGAAACAGAAACTTCCTGGAGAGCCTTAGAAATGGAACTGAAGAATCCATGAGTCAAGACCAGGGATAGCCAGTTAGATCAGTTGGTTAGAGCACGGTGGTATAACCCCAAAGTCTAAGGTTCACATCCCCATACCAACCAGCCTCCAAAAAAAGAAAAAAAAGAGACCTGGCCCAATGCAAGTCCAGGAAAGTTGTGGCCAGACCCCCTCCCCCTTCCTATTATCCAAGGAGGGGGTGAGACTCCCAGGACTGATGAGAAAGGTGCATTTGTTGAATGTTTACTATGTTTGTTCCTAAACCTGTCTGTCCAGAAGCCAGTCAGGCTCCTGCAAGTAGAAGCCTTCCTTGTGAGGAAGCTATGCTGGCAAACCTGGTTGGCAGGGAGGGGGTTTCTCCTTGTGCTATCCTCCTACTGCAAAGCATGTCGGCAGTGCTGTTCTGCTGTGGCCACCTCTGAACCCCCAGGCCAGAGGATCAGAACCTGTATGACTGTCCCCCCGCCACCCCACTGATGGAGGCTGGGGCTTGGAAAATGGGCTCAAAACTACCACTGTGGGAGAGGGATCTTTGATATCCCCTTTTTATCTTAAAATGTCATGTTGAGCTTGCACTTTGCTCCATAGTAAGGTCTTTGAATTTTTTTATTTTAATGTAGAGACTTACTGTTGAATCAAATTAATACTTCGTGTTTTCCCTGTGGCTTCATGAACCTACAGGTAGGTATAGGCTGGTATCTCTGGCCACCACCTCCCTTGGAGGGATAGGTGTTTTTAACTTGTGCTTGTGGGCAGAGCACTCAAGGTCAGGGTTAAACAGCGAATTGTTCCAAGTTTCACCTTTGAACTCTGCTTCTGTAATAGTAATACATGTGCTTAAACAGGGCACAATTGTTTTCTTGCCATCGAGGGATCTGAGATAATTTGGGAATCAACCTATGAGCTTTGGAGAAGCCATTTTTCTGGGCCGGCCCTCCCCTCTGGCTCAGATCTGGGAGTGTCTGCCAGCACAGTATTTCTATTTACTCTATTCCAATTGGGTGCTATGGTTGGATTTTAACCTTTGGTGAGTAGAACAGGTTTCCCAGGCCCACAGACAGACTTCTGGCCTGGCAGAGCAGGTTCTCAGACTCAAATGCTCCTTACACCCCTCCCCCAGGCATCAGGGGAGGGGCCAGCCCTGCCTCATTCCTCACCAGGTTTCCTACTGTCTTGTGTGCACATGGGTCAACCTGAGGGCTGAGAATGAACTGTAATGGGAAATGGGGGCGGAGTCTGTGGAGGTGGGAATATCATCAGGCTTTATTAACCAGCTCCCCGTTGCTAAGCAGCTTTCATTAGCCAGGAAGTTCTGCCCTGCAGT